AAGTTTAGGTTGTAAAAGTATATCCAGGTAAATGTTATCACTGGTATATAAAAATTAAGTTAGTGAATTTAGAAAACGTGAATATAAATTGTTAAATGTATGACAGAAAACTATCATACTTTCTTATATCAAAATGTAAGATGTCTTTCGTGTGAATAAAATTCAACGCGTCGGCGATTCCGCGCGCGATCATCAATTTCTTTGTCCATTCCATATTTGGATACTTCTCAAGATAAGGTTGTAGTTTATATTCACCCCATTTCATAATGACACTCCAACTAGTGTTTCTACGAACGAGCCCATGACTTTTCAAAAAACAAGGAATTAGTGCATGAGAAAAGAATACATGGATCAATTTAAAACATAATAATTATACTAATTATACTTACAACTTGAGAATATTTTCACATTCACTGAGTCTTTTCAGGTAATTAATTTCGTCTTGCAATTCATTAATTTTTGGATCATTCTTTTCAAAGTTTCCAACGACTTTTTCAGCCACCGAAGCACTGAACATATAAAGTCCCTTTTTAATATTCTTACTTCCAGGAATCACCGATGAATTCTCTGTATCAACAAGATATGATGGGATTTCACAGTCCAATTTAGAATATGAGATTTCACTGTTCATTTTAGATGATGGCGGCGAAATTGATTTATATAATATCAACATTTTAGCGGCCGCTTTAAATTTTCTTTTGGTCACTCCACATTTTTTAAAGTTGGATTTCCATTGTTGAACCAATTTACGTAATTCACTTGTCAAGTAATCTAATTCATCATTTAACATTGGTATTTCTTGTCGAACCTAAACAATTAAAATGAAAAAATGAATTCCGCTCAACCTTTCGAAGTAAATTACACAACAAAAACAAAATTATATTATATACTATACTTTACCTCGGCGTCATCAACTTCTATAAATCCATTGACATTCTCAATATTCAATAAATAATTACTATAATTTTGAAAAGCTGAAGACTCTTCGATGCAATCCTTCCAATAAAGATTTGTTGATTGATCGATAATTTGCTTTATTTCATTAAGAATAATCTTCCCATCATTAATAATTTCCACTCCCCTATCAAAAAGATCTCTATTACGTTTTGCAGCTTCAAACAAATTTAATACCGCTTTACAGGAGTCTGATGTTGACGCTAAATCTGTTAATCTTGAAATTGGAAAATCAAGTAATTTCGAGTTCTTTGGTGAAAAAGGTGTTGTTTGAAAATCGGGCTGAGTGTGATCATCATCTCCAATTCTAGGTAGTCTATGACCAAGCCATTCTTTTGATTCCAAATGACTTAATAAATTAAGCATTTGTTGAGCGGTTGGACGATTCGTTGGATTAATATTCCAACCTTTTTCCATTATTTCCTGATATTCCACGGGTGTGCCATTGGTTCTCTCGGGTTGTGGATGTTCCCCATTGAGAACCTTGTTTGTTATCTCTTCAGGCAACATGTCGTTGAATGGAGTACGATTATTGATGATTTCCCAAAGAACCAAGGAAAAACTAATCCAAATAATAATATGAAAAAATTGTTTATTTTGAGTATTTAACAAATAAATTTCATAAATGTATACGACGATAAAGCATTACCTATAAATTTCGCTGGCTTTAGTATACATTTTATCTCGAATTTTTTCGGGAGGAGTCCATCTAGGATCCGTACGTTCACTTGCTGAAGTTAACATAACCGGTGAAATAGATGAACCTCCCGCTAAACGAAAACCATGAAGTTTAACTTGCAAGCAAAGGCTCAGGTAGATGTTGCAGCTAATAAATTAAAATTAATGTATAAGATTTATTTATAGGGTATTATCGTGTGTCAGAATGACATTCACCTTCTAATGTCATAGTGTAGGATCTCCTCTTTATGAATAAAGTTCAACGCGTTAGAAATCCCTTGTGCGATCGATAGTCTTATTTTCCATTCCAGGTTCGGGTTCTCCGCAAGATAAGCTTGTAGGTTATAGCCACCCCATTTCCAAATAGCGCTGTAACTTGTGTTTCGACGAGTGTAACCATAGCTATTCAAAGGAAAAGAACACAATGTGACTGGTAAGAAAAGCTTTACTTCTAATCAAAGAAAAAATAAAAGTCTCTTTACATTTTATACTTACAATGTAAGATAAGAGCTACAATTACAAATTTTATGAATATATTTGACTTCTTTTTCCAAATCACGAAGTCTTTGATCATTTTTTTTGAATTGTCCGATTTCCTTTTCAGCCACAGGTGACTTAAAGTACATGCTTTTCTTAACACGACATTCACTCACTGAGCTACCAAGTGGATCCACAGGCTTTATTAAATCTGAAGAAGGGATTTCAAAGTTCGATAATGTTATATCATTCATTTTTGCGAAAATATTCTACAAAAGTGATTGATTTTTTAAAAATAAATAAATGAAATGAAAAAAAAATAGAGCGACGTTTTTTGTTGGACTTAAATAATTTCAAAAAAATTAATGAATTGAAGTTTTCAATCAACCTTTTTTGCGACCAAGTTGTTCTAAGAAAGCTTAGTTTTTGTTTTGCGTTCTTCATGCAATCATGCAAACACGCTACTAAAAATGTAGTCGACATTGAAACTTTTATGTGTCACATGCATTGTGCTCAATTTAACGGAGGTGTTGTGATCCCAATAATGCAATTTTAGGGAACATCAAATTTTTTGGACTAATTAATGTAAATCCAAAATATTATTAGGTTGATTGAAAAATACCAAATGTGGTTATAGTTAATATAAATAAAGAGCACAAATGAAATGTTTTGTCCTTTCGTAAAAGAAAAAAAAAATAAGATGTTTTTCAGCTGTACTACACTTACTTATTTGTATATTCTCAATCGAGTGCAGTAGGAAAAGCATTTAATCGTTTGTCGGTATAGATAATCTATAATAATCCAATGGTTAAAAGTATTACATAAAAAATTCATAAACATATTATTTCATCTCTGGAATTAAAAATAAATAACGGGTCCCATATACCGACATCATTCGCTTTACTTAAATATGGCCGATTTAAGGATAAATGCTCCTAAGATTTGTTTTTCTTATTAATTTTTTCTCACCAAAATTCTAAACAAAGTAAAACTTTGTATATTTTATTTGTAATGATTGGTGAAATTAGCAATTAGCTAATTTTCTCTAAAAATAAATTCAGTTTCATGACGATTGTTTAAATTTATGGAAACCTTTATGATTTTGAGCGATTTTCAGGAATATTCCTTTTTGAATTTCATAAATAACGATTGTCTTAATATGTGTTTATGCTTTATTGGAAAAAAAAAAGTTGTAAAAATTGAAACAAAACCTTTAATAAAATAAAAGCAAAATATAATCGTTTTAGCAATCAACTATTATTTCTTTGCGGGTAATTTTCTTGTTTGATTGTTTGAAATTTTTCTTGTGTAAAGCGAGATGCGAAAAACGAAACTGTCGGTTAAGTTTACCTTCAGTAAACATTCCCTATTCTACGAATGGAATTCAGATTCCGATAGACAAATAACAGTCAATCCTTATGAAAAAAGAATTTAAGGATCTGTCCGGAGTTTCAACATGGATTCTTTACACGTTTTTGCATTTTTATTTTTTTTTTTTGATTAAACAATATCTTGGCATTTGCTTGCATCTATTCATTCTTCTTTTTAATTGTATAAAAAGGATTATCCAAATGTTTAAATGAATCCTGCATAATCTTCCCGGCATAACACAATTTAAATGCATAATTGTGCATTAATAACGTAATATGATTCAATTTTTTTTTACAAGTACCGTAATTTGTTTTATAATTTCGACATTTTAGGATTCAGATTTTGATTCACCAATTATCTTATTGAAAAAGTAATTTTATGTAGAGTATAATCGAAATGTCCTAAAAGGTTTATATTTTTGTCATTAACGCTGGTAGCTCAACATTCATCAACATATAACGTAATGTTTGCAAAAAATTCCTTCAGTCCTAAAATATCATTACATTATTTGCTAGTATTATAAAGCAATTAATTATTTATGCATGATAATATTTAATATTATCTTCAAATAAGGAATTTTAAATTCCGTATGCAAAATGATATATATATCCAAACATAATGCGTAAAACAATAAAATAAAGTATTATGGAGGAAAATTTACAAATATCAAAAAAGTTATTAATTCAAATGTTTTCCAATATGCACCCAAATTACATGCATCCTGTCACCTTATACTTCATTTCAATATTTTTTTGCAATAAAAAATAGCGCTTAGTTTTTCTGAGGAGTAAGACACGACTTTCAATTTACAATATTTAAAAAAAGCAAAACGAAATCTAATTCTTTTTTAAAAGGATCATTTAATTATGGCTGTGTGGTCTAGATCAAACACTTATTATTGAAAGGAAGAAAATGGTATAGATCCGTCCGAAATGCCAGAAATGTGAGATCTACCATCGAAGTACAGCAGTAATTTTTTGGAACCAGGTGCATATGCAAATATTAAATGAATTTATTTCAAGTTAATTCGCGTATTTTTATTATTTACAAGGATTTACATTTTACCTTTTTTTTTATTTTATATTAAATTTGCTTTAATTATCAGTTTGTGGCTTCTGGGGAGGTTTGTATTGGCTGGTTATTATTATTGGATTACAGTACGGCTTCCCGAATATATAATATTTATTTATTATAGATCAAAGAATTAAATAAGCATTTGAAAATTACCACAAGAAAACCTTAACAGGGACGATTATTACATTCACAAGTAGCTGAAGAAGAGGCAGTAATGGAGTTAGAGTTCTGTATTATTATGAAGCATTTTGGTTAGTTTTTTTTTTATGATATTTTTGTAATTTATATAATTGGTGATGAAGCCGAAGCAGAAGAAGTAAAGAAAGAGACTAATGCATGTAGGAAAACCACAATCGATTTGGGTTAAAGAGTCGAGTAAAGTTGGAAAACTAATTATTTGAGAATTACGACAAAAGAGTACTGTTGAGTTTTGTAAGGTTGGTAAACTATTTATTTGAGTTTTATTACAATAGAGTTTTGTTAAGGAATCGGGTAAATTTGGTAGGATAGTTATTTAGTGTTAATACATCAGAGTTTAGTTAAGGAGTTGGGTAAAGTTGGTAAGCCGGCTATCTGAGTATTATTAGAGTCGTTTACAGTCGAGCACGCGCAATTTTCCAAATCTTTGTAATCCTCCTAAGGGGTTTAATCTATCCTTGTTAAGTTCCGTCTATAAATAGAATCGTCGTAAATAATTTTTGATTTTCCATTATACGTTTCTAATTCTTTTGAATTCATCAGATTAAAATTTTGAATCAATCGAGATAAGTCCCCATGATATGAATTATTCATACTAGAATAAATTTGTTGTTCTAAAGATTGAAGGTTTGTGATTTCGTCATTTTTAATTGGATCATTTTCTATTATATTTGTTTTGTAATCATAGCTATAAATACATCAACTACTTTGTTCATAGTTGGTCGATTGTCCGGCTTGTCGTCACAGCACTCTAAAATCATAATTTATTGATCGAATTAATTGTATATAAAATTAAATTTATAATAAAATATTTACCTGAATGATACTTTCTCTGAGTCCCTGTGAAATTTTTATAGCTAAATCATATCGTATGGTTTATCTTCAACATGAAAAGGAGGATGTCCACTTGATATCAATACTGTAAACATCAATTTTCTCAGTTAGCAAATTTTGTTGCGATTATAGTTGCGGGGCAAAACCCTAAACCCATTTTGGCAAAAGTCGAAACTTTTCAGAATTGTTTCGACAGTTTCGACGGGTTTCGACGGGTTTCGACGGGTTTCGATGGTTTCGACGGGTTTCGATGGGTTTCGATGGGTCTCGAAAGTTTCGACGGTTTTGATAACAACTTTGCGAATTCTAA